AGGGAGCCCGATGCGGGACTCGATCCAGGGACTCCAGGATCATGACCTGAGCCGAAGGCAGTCGCTCAACCAACTGAGCCACCCAGGCGCCCATATTTTTAATATATTTTTATATAGTATAAATATTATATATTTTTATAAAACATATACTTGTATATTTAAATATATATAATATTTATACTATATATTTTTCTTACAGAAATAACATGGAAGAACTAGAGCATATACCGTCTTTGCCACTCATCTAAATTAAGCCTGTAGCTCACAAAACAGGTGAAACCTACAAACCAACCAAAAACTCAGTAAACTAGTAGGATGGTGTTGTCTGAAACACTCTTTACTGGCCTTATATGTTGAATTTTGCCACACTTAGATGCTGTGGAGGAACTGTGATTTACATAGGTGGAACTAGAAATGGGGGTAATAAAATTAGGATTGGCAGCAGTACATTTCCTCTGATTTTCTTGCTAGCAAGGACACATGTCGTCCTCCTCCTGCCCCCATAGCTAGTACTTGCTTGACTGCTCTCTTTTCTACCCAAGTCAATCATATTAATCCATAAAATGTCTACTTTTTTTTTTAAAGATTTTATTTGTTTATTTGTCAGAGAGAGCATGCACAAGCAAGGGGAGTGGCAGGCAGAGGGTGAAGCTCGCTCCCTGCTGAGCAAGAAGCCTATGTGGACTCAATCCCAGGACCCTGGGATCATGACCTGAGCCGAAGGTAGATGCTTAACCAACTGAGCCACCCAGGCACCCCAAATGTCTACTTTTGATAACACCATACACTGAATTAAATACTACAGTGAATAGAAAAATTAACTAGATGCTACCTAGAAGAGAGAATATATATACCTAAAATAGCCGGGTAAATTGCAGTATAGTGTAAGGGTCATTAGAATGGTTCCAATAGAATGCTTTGGAAGGAAAGATAATTTCCACGTGGGGTAATTGAGGATGTGTTCTTAGACGAGGTACAATTTGAAGCAGAGCCTTTAAGGTGAATTGACTGCCCTGGAGAAAAATGAGAACTGAGGAGAAGAAGGATATTCCAAGAAAAGAAATAGCATGAGTAAAGACAGAGACGAGAATGAATAGGCCATGTCTGAGAAATAGTGAAGAGCCCTATTATTTTTGGAGGGAGGGAATGGGTACAGGAGAGTAAGACTTCCCCTAGAAAGATGCACATGAAACATATGTGGGAGGCTTTGAACACCTGCTGAAGGGCACTCAAATGTATGGATTACTTACTTTGTGCCAGACAAAACTTTAGATTCACATACGTTGTGTCATTCAATCTCTGCTGAAAAAAAGGTAAGTGGCATTGTGCCCATTTTTACAGAAGAGAACTGAACTTTGAACGTGTCTGTCCCTGGCTCAGAGTCACACAGCTAGTGAATGCCAGCATCACACTGAACTTGGCTGGCCTGGCTATAAAGTCCACACCCTCCACAACACCACATGCTCCTTTCAGACCCAGTTCCACAGGCCACCAGATTCTACCAATTCTACTTGGAAATGTCTGACCCCAACCCATTTCTAAGATTAATCATCTCTCATCAGACCTGCTATTAGACTACCTCCACATTAGACTACCAGGGTCGCATTATTCTTGCCCTTACATACCCCTTCCACGGCTGCCGGAGTTCCCTTTCTACAAGATTTTATCCCTTGAACTTTGAGAGAGCAGCACTGCATGTGTGGTAAACTGCTAATTGGCATCCAAGGCCCTTTACAACCAGGCCCAACCTGTTCTTCTGTCCTCACATCGCAGGACTCTGAACCCCACCTATATTCTAGGCACTCAACCTTTTCACCACTTTGAAAACTATCACCCCTTCCACACCAGACATCTCAGAATCAGTAGCAAGGGAGGGAGTGAGGGGAGGGAGGAAGGGAAAATGCGTGTATTGTGTCCTCTGAACCTTTGCTCTTACTGTTTTCTCAGCTCCATGCCCTTTCCTGCTTTGTCTGTCTGCTCATCTGCAGAGTGCTGCTCACTTGTCACATCTGGGCAAACTCTAAACCTCCAGAGAATTCTTTGCTCCTACTTGTGGATCCTCTGTGTGGAGGTCTCAAACAATCCTTATGACACTGAATTTATAGCTGTTTACCTGCCTGCCTCCCTGCTGAAAAGTGCTCTTAAATGCAGACAGTCTTTTTCACCTTTGTATAATCAGTATCTAACCAGCGTCTAGCACAGGGTCAATACTCACAGGATGCAGACCTTACTGAGGCCTAGTTCTCATTGCAAGGCTGGGTGACAGCCACCAGGGGAACAGTCACAAGTGGGATGAAGGTCTGCCTTGTGCTAAATGGAATATTGTCTACTGGGAAGTTGAGCTGCCCTCAGCAGCCTCCTTACAAACCCTCAGACTTAACCTCCTCTCTCTACTTTTTTTCTCTCTCATCCTAAATGTTAGCTGTGTTACAGTGATAAGGTCCTACCCTATTGGGTTTTATTTCTGTCTCAGACTTCAATCCATTTCTCTGTTTTAAGTATTTTAAGTAATTGGCTTTAATTTTTTAGTTGATTTTAAACTTCACTTCTTTTAATTCTACATCTACACACATACATAGTACAGGCTGACCCCTATGGAGTTGCTGTAGAGACTCATTAACCACAGTTGAATAAATAAACCCCTGTGGCAATTTGGCTCTCATCAGGAGCTCCCTCTCCAGTCCACAAGAACTCTTCTGACAGGTTACCCACAGCAGAATTTTACTGTGCACTGTACTCCTCTTTCTTAGAGTACCGTGCACTTGGGGTGATATGAAGATCTGGGATGAGGAATGGTCAGGCACAGCCCGACACTGTACTCCATCTTCTTTCCCCCACTGCTCAGTCTCATCCACTCATGACTCAGGCGAACCTCTTTTGAGGAACTTCAGTCCATCCTCTGAGGGTATCTGAGCCTCATTACCCGAATTCAGTATACAGATGACCTCTGCTTAATGACGGTTGTCAATGCCCAGTATTTACTGCAAGCTCTTGCCCAAAAGGGACATAACATCTCTAAACATAAAACAATTAACAGCCCTCAAGTGCTAGCACATGATATCCTCCCTGAAGTAAAGACTTTATTCCTAAAAAAAAATTAACACCATTATCAATTTCCCTCTCCCTAACACCAAAAGACAACTCCAAGGATTTCTACAATTAGTTGGCTATCGCCAGAATTGACTCCCTAACTTTTCTGCCATTGCCTTTCCCTTATACGTCATGTCTAAGGAGATGTCCCTGACCTCCTTAATTGGGTTCCATGCCTGCAACGCAAAAGGTCAAATCCTCTCCATCTTCTTCTCCCACTGTTAGAGTCCCTAATTACTCATACCCTTTCCCTTTTTTATACATGAAAGGGGTAGATACACTTTGGGGAGGGGGGCCCTCAACCAAAACACACTGTCTTCCTTACCACCAAAACTGCTCCAAAACAAAGAATACAACCTTTGATTCACATTTCACAACTAAAAAATAAATAAATAAAAGCCTTACTTCAAATAGAAATCCACCTCAACAGGAAACCTTAAATTGAAGGTCTTTGGAAAGGCCTGAAGCAGCAGATGATGATGTAGGTGACCGAATATGCCACACCCAAAATATGCCACTTGGACATAAGGATTATTTTGAGCTGAAGGCAACTGAGAAGAAGCAGTACAAGAAAAGTTCTCCACCTTCCCCCTATTTACCTAAAATAAATGTCCCCTTCTTCTACCAGGAAAGACAAAAGTTAATCACTGGAGACAACTATAGATCCTTACCAGTCCTGAGGAATCTACATAGTAAACTTTATTAGCCCTTATCTTCCACTAATTTTCTATATATTTTATTTGCCTTCCCACAATTTACCACCCCTAGAAACCTGAAGTCCTCTTCCTTTGCGAAGATGCTATATAAGCCCAAGTTCTAACCAACCCTTTGAGATACTCTTCATTGAGGTTTCTCTCACACAATGTACACTGCATGAATTTTCTCTTGTTAATCTATCTTTTGTCAGGGAACCTGGAAGAGAAGAAGGAAAAAAAAATTTTCCTCCCCTCTAATGACATGAAGTAGACTGCGTTCTCAAGAACAACTGTATGATACCATAAAGTGGTCAGCTTCCAACCAACACACCAGAACAAGATCATCCACAGGTGTTATATTCAATCCCCTCCATATTTTTCCTTTGTATTCTTCTTGTTATCCTCCTTCTCTTTTTCTATTACTGACTAGTATCAAAACTTTCTTGAACCATGTCTTTCTTTTTTGCCCTTCCTACTGAATAAGATTCCTTATTCTACCTATATTCAGGACCCCCAAACCTTTGGATGGCTTTTGCTAAACTGAGATTACTCAACCTTAACATCTTTCTTAAAATTGTTGCCTTTGTTCACCCTTTCCTTCATTTTTCCTCAAATTCTTCTTCCCATCCTTAAAACCACGGCTTAGCTGTTTTCCCCACACATGCTCTTTTCCTTTATTTAAATCAGTTAAACAAATAACCAAATTCAATCTGGACCACTTTTAGAAGAGTCATGTTTATTTCTCTGGCAATTTCACAGATAAGAATTTTCTAGGTTCCAGTTTCTGTCTACATAGTTGACCTTGAACAACATGGGCTTGAACTGCATGGGTCCACTTCTATGCAGATTTTTTATAGTATAATACTATAAATGTATTTTCTCTACCATATGATCTTTGTAATAACATTTCCTTTTCTCTAGCTTCATTTGTGATAAGTACACAGTCTATAATACATATAACACACAAAATATGTATTAATCAACTGTTTATGTTATTGGTAAAGCTTCTGGTCAACAGTAGGCTATTAATAACTAAGTTTCTGGGGAGTCAGAATTACATGAGGATTTTCAACTATGTGGAGGGTTGATGCCTCATACCCCTGTGTTGCTCAAAGGTCAACTATATATCTTTTACTCGCCAACTCTAATGACAGTACTTGTAACTATTCATCATTTTCCCAAAGAAAATGCAACCTTATATCAAACAACTCCAGCATGGGTGCTGCCATGTGGAGGCACTAAAGGTTTATGTATGGAACAGTCCTAATCAGGATAGCCTCCGTATAACCATACCCTTTTCTCAGCTTCTATATGGTAGAAAAGATGACGCTATGACAAAAAATTGCCCATTTTCTTTGGTTATTCCAAAAGACACCTATTTCATCTTTGGGATCAGACCTATTGATATCTCCTAGCGTTGGGCAGACTCATATTACCTAGCCAGTCTTGTGAGTCCTTACCAGATATGTAGCCCAACTACTTCCTTAAAGTATTTAAATTCCTCTTTGTCCTCTTCAATGACTCTCATTGATCTGGACAGTCTACCAGTAACTGTGTTTCCTTAAAATGTGAAGGCTGACATCAAAATGTTATCATATTCTTCCTTTCTCTGCTGGACCTGACGACACCCTTGAAAGGGAAGCCAAGAGCTTGGTAGGAGATCTTGAGGACTTGGATGCTGCATCTGACCACATCTGAGCTATCTTTTTGCCTGGAGCATCTCCACTATGGGCTACTCAAGAATTGAGTCAAAACTCTCACATCTTGGGTGCCTGTGTGGCTCCGTTGGTTAAACATCTGCCTCTGGCTCAGGTGCCTTGGGCTCCCTGCTCAGTGGGGAGTCTGCTTCTCCCTCTCCCTCTGCCCATCCCCCTGTTCATTCACTCTCTCTCTCTTTCTCAAACAAATAAATAAAATCTTAAAAAGAAAAACTCTCATATCTTGCATGCCCTACTACAGGAGATAACCATCACTGCAAACAATGTGATAAAGAACATTGAATTTCTTGGCCAAGAATTTCAAAAGACTCAACACACAGTGCTCCACAACTGACTGGCACTCAGTCTGATCTTGGCACCCAGAGGGGAGACCTGTGCTGTTTGGAAGTGACTGCTGCATATGTATTCCCCAAAATTTCTCTGACCTCTACATCATAAATAAGAACATTTCAAGTTGCTAGGGGCACCTGGGTAGCTCGGTCATTAAGCATCTGCCTTAGGCTCAGGTCATGATCCCAGGGTCCTGGGATCGAGCCCTGCATAGGGCTCCCTGCTCGGCAGGAAGCCTGCTTCTCCCTCTCACACTCCCCCTGCTTGTGTTCCCTCTCTT